AAGAGAGCACGGCCCGGCCAGGCGGCCACGTCTGGAGGACCCGCAAACATCAGCTGCGACGGCTGCGGCGCTGCCCGTCTGCAAGAGCCACCGGGCGCCGCGTACGCGAGCGCAGAGCGGCTTCCAGCCGTGATAAATGTGTCAGCCCTTCACTATCGCGGCTTTGTTCTTATTATCTGATGGCTCCATTTGACTTTCATTTTATAAGCCTTCAACTCCCTTTTGTAAACTGCGGACATTAGCAACCCGGTGCCAACTCCAGTGACAGGAAACAGCCTCTTCACAGCGCGGAGAGGCGGAGGGAAGGGGAAGCTGAAGAACAAACCCGCCGGAGGCTACCAAGGGCCCTGGCAGCAGCTCTCGGCCACGCTGCCCTTACAGGAATCCCGTTGTGATAATTTGAGTATATTTGGAGGCTGAGCTCAAAGGAAAATAAAGCTCAGTCATAGTCTCACATGGAAGCAAGGGCACAGGGGCCATGATCCTCAATGAGGCTGCTGGTCCAGCCAAACCAGGGGGCAGGTGTTCCTGGCTTTTTTTGCTTCAGAAAAAGGCAAAATCTTCTTTCTAGCTACTTGGCAAATTGTGCCTGGCTACAAGGATTGCCAAAATCCCTTCCCCTGTGCAGGAGGGAGAACACAGCGTACTGCGAAGTGTCTCACCCATCCACAGAGAAGGAAAGAGCAATGCCAAAGGAGAGATGGAGTCTGGTGAAGTCACTGTCATAAATATTTACCCCTTCTGGAAAGGTCTGCTAGCAGGTAGCACATCTCCAAGGAGGTAATATGATTTTTCCTCATGCTAATCAATGTTTTAAGCTTCCAGTTGGAGAATCACAAGAACCTGAAATCCTACTGATACCCGGATAAGAAATGGCGCTCAAATATCCCACGGATTTGGAGAGAGAGAGGAGGATGAAGGGCCCGAGAGCAGAGGCAGGAGCGGGTGTCTCACCATCACTTTGTGCTGCCCGCTGAGGTTGGGAGGCTCACACAGCAGCTGCGTCTCCGACACGGTGACGGCGCAGGGCGTCTCGCCGATGAGCACGGTGTAGTTCAGCTTCGCTCCCCCTGGAGCCGGCGGGCACAGGTTTTTGCCCTAATAACAGAGATAGAGAAGACTGAAGAGATGCAGCCAATTTCCCCACTCTTCCCTCTCACCAACAGTGTGGGCACAAGAGGGGCCCTGCCGCCCTTCACGGAGCTGTACGGAGCTTCTCCATCACACGTCGCTTTCTGCATCTCCCAAAGCAGATCTGGTCCCTCCCGGAGCTATGAATTTTGCCTGGCCATTGCAAGAGGGGCTGTAAAAGCTTTGCTGACATAACTGTAGATCTAGTAGATAACTACAGAGAACAGGACATGATTTTTATCTTACACAGCTGCTAGAGCTGTAGGGGATATGCAGCTGTACAGATGTGAGCCAGCAAAGCCCTGGTTGTTCTGCTGAGCTCAAGCCAGCTCAACGCTACAGCTCGGGTGCTACGTGCGAGGCAGCCTCACCTTGAGGATGATGGGCGAGCCGGGTTTCTGCTCCAGGATGCCAGTGGGGCTCAGGAGCTCAAACGTCGGGTTTGGGTAGTATATGAACTTGGTGTCGTTGTAAACCAGCAGAGCCTGCACGTTGTTGAAGATGAAACCGAACTCGTCCGGGCGCTCGACGGCATCCAGGCCGGGCCGGTACTCGGCGGTGAGGGCGGGCGCCAGGCACGTGAGCGTGGTGGCGTTGAGCACCTTGCAGACCTGCGGGGAGGCCGTGGCGTGAGCGCGGCCGCGCGGCGACCTGGCCAGCGGGGACGCCGACCCGAGCGATGCCCCAGCACCCGGGCACACACAGCATCTCCCCAGCTCTGCCCTGGGTTATGTCCTGCACGAGCTGAGCTATGGGCAGAGCAGGAGCAGAGAACTGACGTCCCGACCCTGCCCGCTGCTCCACATCTTGAGGACAGATTTTAGAAATTACAGAGAAAAGGCAGAGAAAACCTTATTCCAATGCGCTGTTAAATTCTGGCTTGGACAATGATGTTCCAATTCCTTAATGCTCCCTGAAAAGTCCAGGGGATTGCTGTTTATCTGGAAATAATTAATCTAAGCTTGAACCATTACTGTCAGAGTTGGGGAACATCTGCTTCCTCTCCAGCACAAAAGCACCACAGAAGAGATGGAGGGAGAGCTCCAAAACGAAAAGTGTTTTAAAGGAGCTAAAGGATTACAGACTAGGTCACTTAGTCTTTTTTTCTTATTTTCCTTTCCAGTTGCATTCTCTTGGGCAACACCAGCTTTGAAACAGACCTATAATGAATATCTGGCCTCTGCTACAAATTGGTGATTAGAGGCAATTCTCTAATACCACTGAGAAAGAGGAATGATCATCTAACAATCAAGGACGGGAGGTAACACGAAGGTCATCTCCTGCTGGGCTGAGGATATCCACAGCTCCTATAGCCCCTGGAAGCAGAGAGCTTGCTGATTTATTAGACTCTTGCCTTATAATGCTGCAAGAGACCAACCGTTTGGCTTCCCTCCATAAGTGGAAGATGTAATTTCACTCAATTTTGTGTCTCAGGAATTATTTTTGTAACACTGTAACTGCAACTGCTACATCAAAACTGGATGTCTTTTTACAAAAAAGTTTGGATGAAAACAAGTTTGAGAGATGGGAGAAAAAAGGAGTAGGAAAAAGGTTCTAAGTAATTTGCACTTTCCAAGATAATATGGACTTAGTCAGTAAATTCATGGCATAGAAACAGCATTTTTCAGTTTACCTGGTCAAAATAAATTCCAAGTAAAGCAGAGGTAGAATTCTGGTTTGTAATGTGCAAGAACATCAGTTAGTACCTGCTTAGGTGAGAATGGCATTTAATGCATTTCAGTTTCCTGCTCTTGGACTGAACAAACACAATGTTTTCACAGAGAAAGGAAGGAGCTGGCATTGCAACAAGACTCAGATCAACCCTAAAACTTGTTACTGACCCTGGTTCGTCTCCTCCTTCCCTCCCCAGTCGGTCCCAGCGCTGCCGCGAGAGGGTTATTTATAGACAGGCAGCTAAAGAGGGACTAGTAAAACACAGCGGCCTCCTGACCCGCTGGGTCTCCAGTGCCCAACTCCAGGCTTTTAAGACGAGCAGGACTCCAAGGGGAAGCGCAGGGCGGCCGTGATGGAGGCGGACACGTTTGCTCCTTCCACCCCGCTGCAGCCGGCCGAGCGGAGCACGGAGCCGGGCACGGGGTTGTGCTGGGAGCCACGAGCACTCAGCAGCTCCTCAGGGTTCTGGCACGGGGGTAATCGAAATAACAGGACAAATTTGTTTGACTTGAGGTCCAGGTCAGATGAAACCACCTGCTCCTGTGCAGGAGAAGGGAAATGACTTTCCTGTGCACCCTCTGCACTAGGGCAAGCTGGGAGCCAGACTTACTGGCACACGCTGCTGCATCTGTCTGCCCTGCGCAAGTGAATTTGATGCTAGGATGTGCGGGCATATCCCACCCCGCTTTGTAACCAGAGCCCTTCACAGCAATCTGGTTAAACAAACCAAAAGAACAAAACTGCAGGGACAATTATAAATGACAGCAGCCTAAATACCCAGAGGACCTTTATGAGCCTGAGATGCTCTTGTTTAAATACTCTGACAATTCAAAAAGTAGCAAGTTTAATGAAAATTAGATTTAGCAAGCAATTAGCAAGTAGTTCTCATCATCTGGCACTGCATCAGCACAGTGTTTCCCCAAGCAGAGCAAGGAGCAGCTGGGAGAGATTCCCAAGAAAACCCCAAAAGCTGCGTTTAAGGTAACCTGCACCTGGGGAGAGGCTCCTGGGCACAGGAGAGCAGGGGACACTCAGGTTTGTCCCCAGCCTGCGGGAGGCTGCAGTGCTGGCGCTGGCCAAGCCTCGGTGTGCCGTGTTTGGAGCACTGCTTGTCACCGCAGGGCTCAGCACCTCTG